TGTAAAAAATGCCACAAAGATGCTAATAAAACGATTATTTTTATTTGCAAGATAATAAATTATTGTGATCGCTTAAATTGCTTGAATTGTAAATTTGTTCGAATTTGCTTTGCAGTTTATGCTTTCTTCATTACTTCCTGTTTGAATGCTAGAAATGATTGCTGGAAATAAGCTAGAATGTTCTCAATAAAAATATTAATTAATCAGGTAGTCATCGAAATCCCACGAAAATATCTTTTGTGTGATTAAAATTGAACTTTCTGTTACGTCGATAAATAACTTCAATTCAAGAAACTTGTTTAAAATAGACTATTTTTGGACATCTGCTACGTTAAAGTTATGGTATTCGTTGAATATATGATTAAATTGAGCAAAAACTTTTTTTTTTTTTGAATGAACCTTATGACTTTCCTATTACCAAAGTAAAGAGATCGGTAAATGTGATAATTTTATCGATATGTTATTATAAATAAGTAGTTTGCAGGATTCATTGAGTCCGAATATTTCTCTCAAATTGTTTTTTATAAATTTGCTAGAAAGTATAGCAATCTGTTGAATGGTTACTCCAAACAAATGAATAAATATTAATTATTCGTTTGTTATAAAAAACGGTAATATTCTCAGTGAATTTCACAACAAGAAGTTAAGTTTTAATGGTATAAATTGGAATGACTCGATCTAAGCTTAATAGACTTACGGGAGAAACACAACTGATTATCACTAATCCAATCAAATCGAAAGAAATCTTTAGGGATTTGAAATATTACTTAAAGATTTAGTCAAACTAAAAAATCAGAGTGGTAAATAGCAAAACTCTCTCACAGTATCCCATATCAGTATTAACAACGATATCATTAAGTTTTCAAAAAATTTATCCCTTTAGCATAGCAAAAAAACACACACCTTCGCTCAAAATCCAGAAGAAAAATAAATCTTTAATAATCCAAAAACATTCGATAATACAAAATCAAATCGGTTAGATGAAAGATTAAACTGATAATGTAATTAAGGAAGCAAATAAATTAATGAAATGGTAAAGTTAGGAAACAAAAAAACCGATCAAAGAAAAAAATAATCAAACGAGTAAGCAAAATGCATATTGATATTATTATTCACTATTCGTTATCATTTCCTCTTCGGTAATATTCCCGACCGCTTCTTCTGCCACATTCTCGTCATCCATTGCAGTGGAATGATCATCGCTAATCAGAATAAAACGTTCGATCGCATTTGCTGCTTCATCGGCCATTTGAACTTCAATATTCTGCTGCGCATGCAAACGCTGATCATCCGTAACCTATAGCTTTCAAAAAATTTCATCATTCTGGTTTTTTTTTTCTCTAATCTTCATAATCCAGAGAAATGATAATCATTTTCTCTTAGTTAAATAATTAGTTAATTTCCGTTAATTAAATAAATGTTTAATCCATATCAAATCTTTTAGAGTGCAAATGTTGGAGATTTGTTTTTTCAATTTTTATTGCAATAAAATTTGAAACGAAAATCAGTTCAGTATAATTGAAATATTTTCAATTACCATGAAATGTTCTTCTTCCTTGATGGCCGGACCTTTTCCTATTTCAGCAAAATTTAGTTTAACATCATCGGAATTATGTGATGTACCCAAGCCCTGCTTCATTTCTTCCGCAAGTTGTTTTTGCCGTTTTGCTTTTTCACGGCATTCCGCCAGTTCTTTAGCATCCGGATATATTATCAGTACTTTGCTACCGTCACGATCACGTTCAAGAACCGTTAATTGATAGTAATGCCACGGTTCTTCGCATTTCCAGCCAACGAACTGAAATATGAAATAATTTAACTAATGAGTGCACTGAATTTTACCCACTGTTTTCAAATTTTAACCATTCAAATTTACCCGTTCAGGTTGAGATTTCAAATACAGACGACGTTTCCCTTCGATATGTGAAGAGAGACGATACTTGAGCAGCATGTGATGGTTGTCCACACACCAAATTTGATCGCAATCCAACGTTTCCAAGTCGGAATATCGGATCAGGAAGGTACCTTTCTGGAAGTCACATTTACCGTATTATTGCGGAATAATGAAAAATTCCGGTTGTTACTAACTTGTTTAGCAGTTTAGAAAATCGACACGTCTCTTTAAAGAGTGAAAACCATAAGTTTAAAATTTCATACCGGAAATGCCATGCGACTTTTTTGACTATTTAATAATTCCTCCATGCATTGCTTCTTTGCCGCTGCCGATGCCTTTCCGGTTGTTGAATTACGTTTTTTCTAAAATAAAAATAAACAATTCATATTTTGCAAGAATTCATAAAATTTTACGTTCAAATAATGTTTGTTTTTTAAATTCTCGCAATATTGGATTTTTATAAAATTATTGTAATGTTTAAATGTTTTTGTTTTAATGAATGCATTAATGAAACATTAGCGGCTATTATGGTTTTATTCATTTTGAATTTGATAACTGACCGTATCATTGACTGTTCCATCGGATTTTGTTGCAATTTTCCTGCCGGGACGCTTTTTTTTCGTCTTTTCCTCCTTTACCTCATTTACATTTGGCATTTCATTCAATGACTGAATTAATTTTATCGGATTTTGTTCTGCAAGTTTATTTTTACTAGCATTTCAAAGCTTAAAAGATATGAATGATATCCGTCCTAAAATGATATTACTGCAAATGCTGGAGACGAAAGAATTTGAAATTGATAAAATTGAACCGCTTTGAGCTTCTTCTGCATTTGCTTTAATATTTCTTTCCGAGTTTGCAACACTGATCGATCGATTATTCATCTTAAATACATTATTGCTGAAGCGTTTGTAAGAGTAATCAAAATTTAAAAATTACAGTAATTGGCATGAAAAATTGAAACAAACTGATCATTTGAAGAATAAATTTTCCTTTTCCTTTTTGGCCTAAATTTCAGTTTGTATCTCATTTGGTGCGATTTAAATTATGCATTTTGCATCATTTGATTCATTTCTTACACGCAATATTATCCTTTCTGTTATTTTCCTTTTTCTTCGGAAATTCTTTTTGCAGAAATTTGCATAAAATTTTTCTTACTTCATTTGAAGAAGCATCATTTGCTTTTCCAGCAATACAATCATTGCCGTCTTTACGTTTCCTTCCACGTTTCTTCGGAATCGAATTGTCGGATGCAATATTTGCAACTTCTGCACCATTAGCACTCTCACTTAAACGTTTCCGACCTCTTTTTTTAGCTTGCTGTATTGGTTCAACTGCAGAAATATAATCATAAAAAATCTTTTAGTGATTTCAGTTGTAATGTAATTTCGAGAAAGGAAGTAATAAAGCGATGTCAGTGGAACTATCACAGTAATACGGAACGGCACAATACCTTTCAAATTTCATTGTTCTACCTAACTTGCAGTACTGCAATGAAATGCGGAAAGTGATAATAAATTATTACTGCTATCTTGAACTGTCTGCGTGGCAGGAGTTATTTGCCGTGATGGTTCAATTGGTTCCGAAGGATTATTGGTTGGTTCCGGTGGATTATTTCTGGTGGCATTGGAAGATGGAATCGACGACGGATTCTGAGCATCTGAAATCAAACGCTGTGCTCTCTATTGGTACATTTTGGCGACCAAAATATGTGTAAGGTTATTGATATTCATAAATAATTAACGAAAATTTAAAGTGTTTTGTTAAAAATCAAACGATACTGTCATCATTCAATACCAAACCGTCAGAAGTCGGCGCTCTTGAGCGTAATATTTCGGAGTATACTGAAATTGTTGTAGGTGGTCCGGGATATGAATGAGAACGTATTGAATTTGTAGTGGCACGCGATGGTGGATTGGTATAGAAAACCGGACTGACAGTTAATCCGTTCTTTGGTGGATAGATTGTCAACTAGAAATTTTTTCAAATAAAATATTGGCAGGTAAATTTAAAGGAAAAAAGAGAAAGAACGAGAAAGATGTTTTAAATAATTTTACGAAGCTACGGTTAATAATTTAATTATAGACTGTTTACATGAACTGGATTAGGATGTGGTGCCGGATAATTCGATGACGAATTATTCGATTCTGTTGTTGCGGAGACTGTTTCTGTTGGAGGTGTCGGATTCTGAATTTTTAGAATAAGTTTACCATAAAGTTAAAAAATGTCTGAGCGAAGAAATTCCTACTCAAATTGTCAATTATTAAGTTATAAAAACTTTTTGTAAAAATCATATGAATGGTGAATTAGAGGGATTTAATAAGCATTCTAATTAATAGCAATATTATATTTTTTTCCTTCAACCACGTTCACCAAAAGGAATTGTATTATAAATTAATCAACTTTGCTTATTATTATTTCAGTTCATGTAAACAATTATGATTACGGCGTAAGTCGAAACAATAAAACAATGGGAAAATTTTGTGAATTTTAATTTTGAATAGAATTTGATTTTTGAAATGATAAAATAGGATGAAGAATCGAACTTGAGAAAATTCCTGCGTCGGTAGGCTTTGATTGTGTGAAATATCGATCGCTCCATCAATTGCTGCATTGTTTGCGTTCGATTGCGTATTATTACTTTCCTCGCGAACGTCCATTTTGTACGTGTACGTTCAATAGTACTAATGAAAATTTTAAAATAATGGACTATTTTTATTTTTACCAAAAAGTTAGTTTTGAAATGAAATTTTAAATTTTTAATTCTTTTACTGGAACACGTACTCCTTTAGATAATTAGCCAATTAGAAGAGTAACAACCGCCAGCCGCAAAAACACACCGATAATGATATTTTTTTATTGATTTAAAAAAATTTCATCATATTTTTATGCAAATTTTTTAACAATTGCAAGTTTTCAATTTTAACTTATTTATGCAAATTTTCCTTTCTGTATATGTTTTTATTCCGGTAAAGAATTATTAATTGCAAAGAAATTTTTGCTAGCTTTCTCATTGTAAAATTGTTCATTTCATCGGTCAGTTCAAAGTTTACGGAGTTCTTTTTTTCATTGCTGAAAAGTCTTACAATTCTTTGATGAAAGTTTCAATTATTAGTGATGAGCTATTGGAAGCTGTTTTTTGATTTTCAGATTACATTTCAATTTTAATAAATTAATAATTTGCTATAAAAATGTGATTTTGTGAAAATATTTTACTCCTTTTTTTCAATATAGTTCCAATCATCGAATTTGAAATGCAGCAGGGCGATCGAGTTCGTATTGCGCGTCATAACTTTTCATTTTATGAACGCTTGCATAGTTATAATCAATTAGCTTGGAGTTCACGCATGGCTACTGTAAGATTTTTATGATAAAAGTTCAATTAGCATTTCCTAAAATAGCAAAAAACAAGTTGAAACATTTACTGTTTAATTTCAGTACATCGGGAAAGTCGGCATTGTGAAAGATGTTACAGTGGAATCCGTTCAAGTTACAATTTTTAGTTGGGGAACATTTGAAGATGCAACAATAATTACATCAAATAATAGCGGCAATCCGGATGGACGGAATCTACCGGAAGTGTGTCGGAATACCGTTGTTGAGGCGACGTATTCATGGCATCCAAAAACTGTCTTGTTAGCACGAAATGTTTACATGTTGGACGGTGATCGAGCAATTATGATTCGAAATAAGGTTTTCAGGAATATCTCATCAAAGTCCAATTTTATATTTTAACCATACTTGCTTCTGCGTACGTCGTAATGTAAAATTCACGTGTTATATTTCAATAAAGGAACAACAGTACCGTTAAAAACGTAAAAAACGAGAAACGTAAATTTACTTCGAATTTTATTTCTAAAAAATTACATTGAATTTTTATACAGAATTATAATTCTCAGGATCTCAGCAAAGCAACGATGGTATCGATCCGCGTTTTGGATGAGGAAACATTTGTGCTCCGATTACCGCATGCGGAATCGCTTATTTGGAGACAATCGGAAAATTTGAATGATACCATTTTGCCGATATATTCAGGTGATCAATAATTTTAATGGTACTGCAAAATTAAGCAAATCAATAGATCAGAATAAAATCTTTTTTCATCTCAATAATTATAGGGAATCATTTAAAATTTTACATTTTTACTTTAATTACGAATTAATTCTTTGCTGTTTTTTTTTCGAATTTTTTATTTTCGTTTTATTTTTTGTCAAAAAATCAAATGAATTTAGCGGAAAATTTGATTGATCATATTCCCTATTTTTCATTAGGCCGAGATTTGTCAGTCCTAATGCATGACCGGAATCTTCCACCACATTTGACAAATATAAATCGTACTGCGGAACGTGTCGTATTCGGTACAGTACCAGTGATACCAAATGTTACCGATATTATGGAAGCATTACATTATTGGAATGAAACCGGTGATGAGAAACAGTTCCATCTTCTACTTTATTATCATCCGGAATTGGTTTGTTTGTAAATCCTTTTAAGTTAAAATTTTAAACTTTTGCTCTTTTTCTAATCTTACATTATTGACGTATTGTATCGTTATGTCACGAAACACAATTGCTACGTATTCATTTTAATTTTGAAGAAAAATGCTACCATTAATGGACAAACACTGTTGATGTCAGCCGTTCACTTAGGCCTATGGTCGGCCGTAATCTTACTGTTATGTATTGGTGCCGAAAAGAACGTTACTGATCCGGAAGGTAACTGTCTGTATCACATAGCTGCGAAAAGGTGATTGAATTCAATTTTGTTATTACTTCATTAGTAAAAACTAATTTTCTATGACAACAATTGAAAGCAAACTTCATCGTTTGAGAAATTTAGAATTCCTCAGATAAACTTTTATCCCAAATTTTTTGCGTCAATATTTTGCAGAGGTCATAAGCAAATTATCGAAGGCTTGTTGATTTTTTCGGCTGATGACATCAATTGGCAAAATTTTAAAGGTGAAACAGCTCTGCACTGTTCCATCTTAAATGGTCACTTATCTTGCATTGATCGACTTTTAAATGCACCTTCGATTGACCCAAATATACAGGTAACATCAGAGAGTCAGATATTAAATTTAAATTTAACCCATAGCGAATATTTGTTTGTTTTATTTAGCAAAGTTTATCATGCAGATTTTTATTTATTTTCCGCTAAATTTTTGTAATTTCAGTATTTTTTGCTTCACCAATAAGAATTACAAAAATATTAGAAAAGAAAGGAAAGTGTTAAGGATAATGACGGGAATACAGCGCTTCATTTATTAGCTGAAATGGAAGATGCACCAATTCGTGGCGCAATGCTTCATCGTTTACTGTCAAATGTTAAAATTGACCAATTAATAATTAATAATGATGGTTTAACTGCGCTGCAACTTGCAATTATCGCTAATCAAAAAGAGTTAAATTTGATAATTTAAGAGAAATGAAGTTATTTGATCTTGTCATATATTATTAAAATAATATGAAGTTTTAAATTTTAATTTTTTTCCGTTTTTCTCTTTTATGCAATGATATTTACCATTGAAATACTAGGAAAAAGCCATTGAAAATTGTTTCTTTTTTTGGTTTGATTTAAACTTTTTCTTGATTGAATTATGAAATTTTATCAGCAATTCCATTGTAGAGTAGTGGAACCGATGATTCGTATGAAACCAACGCTTCTTCAATCGGATCGATGCTATTCGCTGTTACCGTTGCATCTCGCTGCCGCATACGGTCACATTAATGAGTTGGAAATTATTCTGAAAGTAAGGATAAATTTTGAATTAGAAAAAAATTGTTCTAATTTCTTGTATTTTTAAATTTTATTTTGATTGGTTCTTGTTGTTTCGAAAAAGAGAAGAAAAGAAAATAAAATATTGCTGGTAATTGGAGCTTACAATGCTTTTAATAATTTAAAAAAAATTTTTTTTTCGGTTATAAAATTTCATTTTCAGCATTCTTCTGATGTAAAGAAAACAACAAAAGCTGGCCGAACAGCATTGCATTTTGCGGTGGAACGTTGGAATGGCAACGCGGAAAAGGATGTGCAACGTCTTTCTTGTATTCAAGTAATCCATTATACATTTTCCAAAAATTATGTTCACATGGAGGTAAAGTAATAATTTCGAAAAATATTTATGACGAGAAAGTATTAAATTAAATTGATTATTAGTGATGAACAATTAAAGTATGTTTTCAAATTTTGGAACAAAACTAAGTTGTGCTTTCAAAGCATGCAGCTAAAATAATGCTGAGGTTGAAATTTTGAGAAAGGTTCAGCAGTTTTAGTTACTGTTTCAGTTACTCGTATCATTGGGTGTGCCATTAAATACACGAGACTGTGACGGTATGACAGCGTTACATTTAGCAGCCCAAGCAATCCAAGGACAAGCTCCCATAAGTAATAGTAAAGTGGAGGTTGTATTACAGATGAAGAAATCAAATATGGTACCTCCTAATTTAATAATTCGAATTACTGAAAAATTTTTTAGTGAGGAAAATTCAATAATATTACCGATTATCATATTTTTTAGAACAGCTAATGAAAATAACATTTTTTTAAAAGTCAGTTGAAGAAGAAAGTACTGTCTTCCTCTTTTCGCTCAGCGTTTGGAAGAACTTGCATCGGTACTTCGTCCGCAATGGCCCGTTGCGGTAATGTGCTTTCTAATAGCGCAGGGAGCGGATCCGCAAATTCATGATCGTTCCGGATATGTTCCATTCGAATTAATTGCCGAACCAACTCTGAAATCATTATTTGAACAATATGTTGCTTGTAGGCCAAGGTTAATGATAATTTGAAAATTTGCTAGAATTTAATGAGTTAGAACAGTAATGCAAATCGTATTTTTGAAAAGTTTTTTTGGTTTATTATTTGAAGTAAAAAATAAATGTAATTATATCCCTCATTTTGTTAAAACTCTTTTGCAACGCAAGAAAAAGACAGTGATTAAGCGGTGCTCAAATATTTTGCCATGAATTAAATGAGCAACAAAGACAAGAGTGATGAAATTGATATGGTATTAGGACAATTGATGAATCAATGAGAGCTATGAAGAAAATATGTTTTCAAATTTGAAATTGAAATCCAATCAAGCTTCTAAAGTAAAAATATTTTCTACTATTTACATGCACTATTTTAATTGGTTACCTTTGCTTACTAATTCACAATTAAGCTTCAGATCGTGCGTGCCAATGAGTCGTACGATGGCGCGGAGCTTTGATATCAGCGGTGTGACAATGTGTACTTTTAATTGCGACGACAATGTGGCGGACGTGGTTTTCATCCCTTGCGGTCATCGAGTGGTTTGTGTTGCGTGTGCCGGCAGCACTTTGCTTAGGCGTTGTCCACTATGCTATCAACAAATTGTTATCGCGAAAAATTCATGTATAGAATTGTTAATTGCAATTTCTCAAATTTTCAATGTTATCAATATTTCCGCTATCATTGGAATTGTCGGGAATCATGAGGAAATTATCTGTATTATTGTTATTAAGGCTATTAAAGTTATGCTAATTGTTGCCGACAGTTTGTTCATACTTCTCCTATTGCTAATAATAGCCCATGCTAATTAGATCAATAATTAATTAGACTACGAAGCAAGTGAAAACAAAGCGTCGAAGAGATTTTGTGCATATTTTGACTGTCACGCATGATAAGCTTGCTTCAATGATAATATATATGTTAGATGGTGAAGAGGTCGAAATTGGTGGTAAAATTATACAACACAAAGAGTGGGCCGACGATAGATCGGGCGAAAAAATCATGATCGATGAGGCTGAAATGGAAAAGATTACGCAAGAAGCTGTTGAACGTGTCAAAAAAGCCGTTGAAGAAGGTAAGTAATTATTTTTCTTCTTTAAAAAAGCTCATTTTCATTGCAATGTTTCCTATATCTAACTTTAAATACAATTTATTAGGTACAAGGAACTAATCAGATTTGGACTGGGCGCAGTTAACTTTGCAGAAACTAACTCTTGCAAAATATCGCCTTTTTTTAAAAGACAAATGTATGAATCTGTTTTACGGAAAAAACGTCTGATGATGAAGTCATTTACGTCAGGAAAAAATGCATGATGATGAGGTCACTTACGTTGTCGCACATACAAAATTTGATTATATTTGCACCATTGTTGTGCATTTGTCAATTCCTTGCTCGTCTGCTCTTTTTATAGAAAAAAATGAGGTGGTGCGTGAATTACGTGATAGGTTAGAACAGTTGGAGCTGGAAGTTACGTGTGCAATATGCATGGATCAGCGTTGCCACGTTGTATTTCAATGTGGACATACAGCGTGCGTAGAATGCAGCAATCCATCAAAATTGAAATTGTGCCATATTTGTCGACAAACCATCAAACGACGTACAACAATTTATACGTAAATGTTTCGGGTGAAAATATGAAATTTTTGAAATTATAAAAATTTGAAAAGGAAAAATCGCTATCAAAATTGTTGGACGTTAAATACCTCACGTGTATAATTGTATTCACATAAATTGTTTAATTATTTCTCATTTAAGTACAATTTCTTTAGTTCGAAAAGAACTTGAGTAATTTTCAAACCATTTAAACTATATTAATGGAATTGTTCGAAAGAAAACTTTTTCTCTGAGCATTTATTTAATAGTATGATGAATTGAATTTGGTAAATATTGACAAAAATCAATGAATGGTACTAACAAATTGCAAAGAACTTGAAGAATGAAAAACTTAAGAAATGATAT